AAGGTCCTCTTAATGAGAAATCTAAACTGATACTGTTAGAGACTGTAGTTTGCAAAGTTTATTACGTAAATGATGTTTTAGTTTTACAGAGATGAAAAACTCCACATTAGACAGCGTTTCTCTTCAGTAAACCATAAAGGAATAGTCTTGCGAAACTGTACCATAGTATTTTTCTATTTGCTGCCTCTTACTCAGCTACAGTTACATGTGTGGACTTAACAGACTGATATCACAGAGAACACTCTGGTGTGAGGGTCTGCAACATTTACCCCTGATAAAAATGTATACATCTATTGCTCAATCATTCCGAATGTTGAATCATGTTTCTTAACATAAGTTTTTTTTTTTTTTTCAAGTACATTGTTGACATTTTACTCTGGGGGATGTTTTAAATTTAACAAACATTTTCTGTCTTCATTTTCTTCCGAAACTATCAGACTTCAACTATTTTCCTTGCTATGCTCCCATAATGTATACATACATATCCGCAATCGTACACATTTCTTATTTACCTAAGTACACCATAATAAATTATGTCAAAATATCAAGAAGACACTCAGTCTTATATTACTTATTAGAAAAATATGATTCCTCTCACTTAATCACTTGTCCAAATTTCTGTTGATCAGGGGCTTTGTTAAAAGGTAAAAGATCTCCAATCATTCTCAGCTTTCCCTCACCCTTCTCTACTTCTTGGAGTTCCTTTGGGATTAGAAATAATTATCTGAAGAGGATGAAAATCATACTGAAAGAGAGTCACTCGGTTTTCTTCCAGAAAGGCTGCTCCACTAAAAGGAACACATGCTTACAGGCAAAAGCCTAGTTTGCGAGCAAAACGTGATTTATTTTTCTACAAACTAGCCCGCACGTTCATCAATACATGTCCTTACCCGTGGAAGCCTTTTCCACATGGTGCATCTCTCTGCTCCGGGGGCTCTTTGAAAGCGAGCCTTTCAAGTGCGTGCCCTACAGATCCCTGAAGTGTCTGGAAACTTACCCTTTGCGTTTGGTTTGAAAATGGAACGCTTTGGGGCTGCAGACCATTGCTGAGCAATTCATTACGGGACAAAGAAATGTCTGGGGTTAGGCAGGCGAGCAACTAATGATCCTTCATTTTGTCCAGAAAACATCAAGATCGATCTGGAGGACATGCAACATTTATGGAACACTGTGTTGTGGTTTCCCTGTAGGGAAGGGAGAACGCGCTGGGTGATCCCGTTCTGAGGATGGCTGCAGTGATTGACACTGCTAACACGCATCGCTCTCATCTTCTTCCTCCCTGCTAGTCGCTAGAGCCACCTGGTCTCTGTTAACCCCCTGTACTATATACATGCACCAGAGGTGAAGTAATTTTATTTTTTAACAGGTATATTTAGCTTAATTGATTGAGGTAACCAAAATCTGGGGACAACATTATAAATCAAAGTGAACAGAGCTAGGTCTGTGAGGCTCACATAAGCATTAATGATCCAAGATGTATTTATTAAAATTGGATCTTTTATGAGCAAATAGGAGGAGCTTAGAGGAAGAAAGTGTGAGTCAAAAGAAGGATCTACACAGTTTCCTTTCAACTTACGTAATCTGTCAGGAATGAAAACCGAATTCCATCACGAAATCTATTTAATGAGCAAACTGCCCCTAGAATAATGCAAATCAAAATGGAGGCAGCAATATAAATGTGGTCCACGTCACATGTCCTTGCAAATCTTCTTAACTATAATGCTTTTGTTTGAAATGCAGAGCAATGTCAAAATTTGGGGTTGAAATTATTTTTCCTTGTTCTTTAATAGAAATGACACAGTAGAGGACTGGGAAACTAGTTCACTTTGCATCTCCGTCAAGAGGAATCATTGTCAAAAGTGACAGGAGCCAAATGGCACTACATTTGCTCAGCGACATGTACCCATTTTCCCAAGTCATCCCTGAATAGAGAAGTAAAGAGCGCAAACTTGGTACCAATTGCTCTCTACTTGTTTAGTAAGGTTAAGCGGGGCTGCAGTATGAGGAGAAGATAATTAACTTAAAATGCAATCTCTCCAACAGTCTTCTCAGAGCCCAGAACCTCAGATCATTATTGTGTCATCGGGGTCCCTTGATCACAAAACCTTAAAGCATTATCCTGAAACCATCGATGTGAGTTCTATAAAGCCACACACTCCTGAATCCAAAGATGCCTGATCTTTATAACGTGGAAGCCTGAGAGTATTTTAAACAAATTTTTGAATTCTATTTTAGTTGCAGGTAGGTCAGATCAATTATAGATGGTTCTAATTAGTATACCCAGAAGCAAGGACAGGGTCTCTAAAGCTACATTAGTATTGAAAAAGTTAGGAAATTTAGTCACTTATTTTGAAAAGGTCAATGCAATGGCGTCCATATTGATATCAGATCTCAGTGATATCCCACTCGGTCTTCAAGATGGAAGAGATAACTGGACTAAGGTGTGAGTTTCTGTGTGTGTAAGAGTTCAACCATCCACAACAAATAAGCGATGAAGACAAATAGAGGCAAACAGCACACACCTAAATTTGATTATACCTGTCTTGACTTACTAAATGTACCCAATGAGGGCATTTTACCACTGTATCTTCCAAAATTCTCACATCTTGCATGATCTCCTGTTTTATTTCACATCAAATTTAAATATCAAAGACTAAATATCTTCTGTTAGCCTTTGTTAAACTCCATCTGACTTCCAATGCATAAATAAGCAAATTCAAGTACCAATTATGATCAATATTGTACATTTAACTCTACTAATGTTGAGTGCAAATATCAGAAGCACAACGTTATATCTCTTAAGAGTTTTATGACTGAGAACAATTATTTTGCCTCTCATGTTCCCATGAGATAAATGTGAGTGAGAAACTCATAACTAAGTTCTTGCTATTCACAATGTTTCCATTGGGTGTAGCTATGATATTAGATAGGGTGATATCAGAGCTTGCATATTCAGGAAGAATGCCCAGACATTTGGGGCTTTTTAGTGACTTTATTTGTCTTCAGCATTAAATTGTATTAGTCAACTATATGTTTTATGGAGAATGCAAATAAAACAGTTTCAAATCAATCAAGTCAAGAAGTATTTCAATATCTTTTTCTGGAAAGAACGAAACCTAAAAAACTAAGACCTGTATTAAAACTTGAATAAACAATAATTTCTATATACTTTGCTCCCTCTTAATTGTTTACATAGCCAGATAATTCACATTTAGAAGAAATGCCTTCTATATAGATAGGCATCTGTTGGATAAAATGGAACAAATACAAGGAAAACCTTCTAACAACGCTGCTCCTTTCTTCAATGATGGGTCAGAACAGAGTGTCTTAAAGTGCTTTTTATGCTAAAAGCAAAAAATAAAAAAAGGATGTCTCCTAAAATGCAAGGGCAGCTTACATGCTGAGATGTAAATTGCTAACTCTTTTCTTAACAACACCATATGTCTCCAACAGGATCGAAATGCAGTCAGTTCTCAAGGGAACGGAACGCATGGAGCTAACCAGACCGAGGCACAGGCTTCACTGTGTGTTGACTCTGATTAACCAGCGATGCTACTTTGAGTTTTGCAGACCATCCAGTCTGAAGGGATCTCCTTTCCCAACATCCTCCCCAAACCAACCCATTCATAAAAGAACTCTGACCCCCTCATAAAATATCTCTCTTTGTTCAAACGTCCTCCTGTATAAACCTCAATATATTTTCAGGAATTAAAATGCTCAACCCCTGAACTCTCTAACCATGGATTTTAAGAAGTATACACATTACACAGCAAACACTAGAGAAATCCAGCTGAAAAAGATCAAAAGGAAAAATACTGTACGGCTGAAGGAGTCACATTGTTCCCCTGAGAATCACCAAAAATGAAAGAGCAACAAATTAGCCAACATGTATAGTCAGATATTTATCTACTCATTGTAATTATTTTTTAGCACCTCTGTAGATCTTTAATGTTTTCATGCATGAGTAAAACGTATTTTTAAATGTACTTACCAAACATTAATTACTTTCCATATATGCTACTACCAGGTTAATATTAAGGCAGACATTTGTGCTTAAGCTCTGACACATGTAATGTATTCAGTTTTTGTATGTTGAATGTAATTTTTTTTAATCCTAACTCAAGAATATTTTTCCATTGATTTTTAGAGACAGACAGACAGACAGACAGACATCAATTGGTCCATTGGTTGCCTCCCATACAACCCCGACCAGGGCCAGGGATTGAACCACAGCTCAGGTGCGTGCCATTGACCAGGAATCAAACTCACAACTCTTTGGTCTGTGGGCTGATGCTCTAACCACTGATACAAACTGGCCAGGGTGAATGTAATTCTTAATAGCATATAGTTACTTCATCTTACGATATATATACTTAACAATTTTGCTTTGAAAATGTTCAACACCCTGGGACAGTCTAGATTGGTACTCTTCAAACTCTCTCTGATGAGGGGACAGTTTTAGTGACTTTTTTTCAATATGTCACTAATTGACATGTTTGTAAACTATGAACTTATGCGTCCAGACTTTATGGGAATAGCAGATTGCTATAAAAGTTTCTAAGTGCTTGCTCTCGCGTTCTGTGCCCTTCTTGTCATGGATGGGTTGGATGGGTTCGGACACTGGTCTCCATCTGTGGACTCTTCTGTGCATCTCATTGTTCAGATAGTTTACAAATTAGAAATCAAGATACCAATACTAATGATGGGAGTCATCAACTTCCTTCATGTCGAGGGCATCTTTAACTATTCTTTGCTATCTTTTTCTTCTAATTCATTTTAGGGAATGAGCAGCAGAGATTCCAAAGAAAGGCCAAAGAAGAATCATCAAAAAGTCTGTGGTAGTTTTGAGAAAGATGAGCTACTACATAGTATTAAAAATTCTACATTTATGAGTGTAAACTTTCCCCTCCCAGTGACCCACCAAGGTTCTTACCTTGTGCTCATTCTGATCATAGCAATAAGCCTGGGCTATTGAATGACTACTTAATGGTATTTCTTACCTGGGATGCCAGGTGGTGTTTTCAGGTATTTTCCATTAAAATGTTGAATTACCACTTCACATTTTTCAGTAGACTCCATTCTGGAAAAAGAAGTAAACAGGGGATCATATACTCTTCATGAACTTGTGCATATTCAAGAAAATAAATAAAGAAAAAATAGGGAGATGGAAAAGCTTGACTTGAGAGTTTTACCAGAACTGTCAACTGTTACCATGACCACCATGACCAAGCCGATAGAACATCACAAACACATCATTGCTGAGAGTATTGCTGTATTAGAAGTTGCTTATGTGGATGGCTCTGTGCTGAGTCCCCACCAAGAGGCAAGACTAAGGTATTATCTTATGTAATCTACACAACGATGCTTGGCGTGTAAAAGTGCTCCATAAATACCTGCTAAATGTCTAAATTAGCACATTTGAAAGGTACAGGTTTTGTGATTGCTTTTCATGTCAGTGAGGGTGCTGAGGCTTAGTGAGATGAGCCACCTTGCCAATAAGTGACACAGAGTCTGGGTTTTAGCTGAGACCCATCTGACACCAAAGCCATACTGTAACGACTAAACTATACCGCTGAGGGACTTCACAAAACAAGTTGATGAGATGTGCTTTCTGTTATCCTCTTTCAGCCTCAATAATGATGATGCCCGGCCGGTGTGGCTCAGTGGTTGAGCACTGACCCATGTCACAAGAGGTCCCCGGTTCAATCCCTGGCCAGGTCACATGCCCAGGTCGTGGGCCCAGTCCCCCGTGGGGGTGTGCAGGAGGCGGCCAATCGATGTTCTCTCTCATCGATGTTTCTATCTCCCTCTCCCTCTCCCTTTCTCTCTCTCTAAAAATCAATAAAAAAATAATATTTTTTAATTGAAAAAAAAAAAAAAGATGAATGCAGCGGTGCTGTCGTCAGCATCATGGCACTTTTACTGCAACACCCCTGGTGGGGGATGCAGAAGAGAATTATCTGGCATCTGAAATGTGAGAGGAGAACACAAATATGCAAACCTCAGGGCCTGAACTTTCTCAATTTTGAATTTTGGACAACCTTCATTTTTTTTTTTTTTTTAATACTAGATACGATGTTCCTAAGCTCGGTTTGTTGTGCCAAATTTTATCATCACACATAGAAGCTAATGAATGAACATTCTGAGCTACAGCATCATAATTTCAATATTGGCAGTATGACTATATCCTGAGTGGTGGAGTATCGGCAACATTTTTTAAAAATAATCAATTATATCTGGGCTTTATTATTTTATAAAATTGGATAGGAAAGATAAAAATTAAAGGGTTTATTCTGATGAAAGGAAATTAAGGCCCACAAATAGCACACCAAGGACACAAATAAACCTAAGAAACAGAACACATCCACTAAAAGCATGTGCATGAAATGTGTGAAATCTGTCTAAAAGGCACAGTATCATTTACACGTTCTGCTGTGTTACTGATATGAGCTTCGCTGGAGGGGAGCCCTTTGACACAAGTTGTAAACTTTCCTACATCTAAAACGTAAGGGTGTTTTCAGGATCCTATTAATGACCATATTACGTGTAGAGGAGGCACGATAAGGAAAAAATATCTAAATAAATGCCCAACAAATTATACGTTTATCACAGCTATAGGAGTTGAAATGCGAGACAAATTCCAGAAGCCAGGGAAATGCTGAGAAGAGGGGACAGAGGCCAGAAGGGCCCTGGAGGAAGTAACGGGCAGGGGCCTGAGCGGGGCAGGAGAGAGGGCTGTGCCCTTTTAGATGGGGCACGGGAAGCCGACCACTGTGACTGCAGGAAAGATCTACCTGGGGAAGCTCCTGGAGAGAAGCTGAGAGATGCGCAGGTAAGGCCATGTGACTTAGCAGATGAAAAAATTCGGAGTTGGAAGTGGGGTACAGACTGACAATCCCCAGAAGAGGGGGTGGTGGGGGAGAGATAAACCACAGAACTTATATGCATGTATGCATGAACAGTGGGCATGGACAACAAAGCTGGGGACAGGGCGGGGAGGGAGGGGGAGGGGGGAATCAGTGGGGGGAAAAGGAGAAACATCTGTAACAAAAATAAATTCATTAATTAAAAAAAATTCGGAGTTGGTATCAGGAGCACGTTCCCTTTAGGACATTATAATTATTTTGACAAAATTTTAAAACTTTCTTTTCTGATGTGCGTTCATTTCTATGAGGCATACAGGATGGACACATTTTTCTGTACTGATGCACACACCGAATCTCTTCCTACCAGTCACAAGACCTGTGTGGAACCACACAGCCACACACTTACAACAAGCCTGAGTTGGCTTAGAACTGTGTTGTCAATATCTTAAAGTCCTTACTGATTTTCCAACGAGGGGTCATGCATTTTTAAAAATTATTTTAAATCCTCACCCGAGGATATTTTCCCATCTATCTTCAGATAGAGTGGGAAGGGGGAGAGAGAGAGAAACATTGATTGGTTGTCTCCCGCAGGCCCAGGACCAAATCACAACCGAGGTACGTGCCCTTGACCCGAATCGAACCCGAGACTCTTTGGTCTTCAGGTTGATGCTCAAACCACTGAGCCAAACTGGCCAGGGTGAGGGTCATGCATTTTTATGTTCTATAGCTTGTCCTCCTCTGACAAGAAAGTGCAGGAAACTAATTTGACATGAATAGATTAGTATTCATCAGATGGCCCAATGGCTCCACATAAGCTTTATTTTGAAAAACATCTGAAGAATGAATTGAATTTACATCCAAATGAAAAAAGAAACTCTTTAAGCTGAATAGGATGTACCCTTTAAAAATAAAAATATAAAAACAAAGATAGCATTTTCTTCACTGTTAATCACAAATTCCCCCACACCAGAAGATATTTGGATTAGAAATGCAAGATGAATCCTTCCCCATTCCACACATTTTGGAGCAGCTAAGTACAATTTTCCTAACTTTGCTAAGTTTTCCTTCTGGTGGAATCTTTTACAGTAAATCTTTCAACTTTTTTTTTTTTTTCCTAAGTAGGAAACTTCCATTTCTAGGAACAAAAGAATTCTAATTTTGTTCTTTCTCTCTTCCCACAAGATCCACGATTGTCTCTCAGGGAAAATAACCTTCCCTCCTAGCAGAGACAGGAATGGAAGAGGAAATGTAAGCCCTTAATTACTACAGATGTTACTTTATGGAATTTTTATTCCAGGAGAGCTGCAGAATAAAAATCCGATGCCCCAGAGTCCCTCTCCCTGTTCAAGCTCTCTCTGGGCTCTCATCTAGATAAAAGGCAGTTAAGAATCGAAAGCTTGCTTGCAAGAGTCCTACACACCAAATCCTTTCTCTTTGTCTTAAAATGACACAGAATTCTAAATGAAGACTAAAGCTAGATGTGAGTGTGTGTGTGTGTGTGTGTGTGTGTGTGTGTGTGTGTGTGTTGATTCTACACCATGTGTTTTAGGGAATCCGGACAAGGCTAAAGAAGAACATCAAGTGGCCAACCCCCTCGACCCACCTAAAATACTTTTGTTCTGGTTTGAAAGGCTCGTGTCTTCCCTTTTGATTCCGCGTGTGATCGTCCTTTCTTGAGACTGACAACCCCATCCAGCCGGACGGGGGCTGTTACCATGAACACAGAGACAGCAGTGTAGATTGTTCACTTTAGCCTCATTCCGATTTAACTAAGTCAGTGTCTACAGTGAGCCTTTCAAGACTCTGCTCCGAAAGAATAAACGCAATAAAAGTCTGTTTTCTATCGCTCCCGGCGCTCAGTGTCAAACCGCGTTACGCTGCACCACCCAGCAGTGACAATTTCATTTCAATACACGGGGCACATTTTAACAAGGCAAAGCGGTCCCAGCGAAGACGGCAATCGAGGAGCTGCGGGGGGGGGGGGGGGGGGGGGGCTCTGTGTTTCTCATGCGTTTTATGTGGGAACAGAACAAAAAGTGAGACCCCGGGAGCTGGGGGTGGGGGGCTGGGGGGCTGGGCCGGGGGCCTTGGGGGACTGCATTTGAATAGCTACCTCCAAAGAATGTGCCCATTTTCTTCTCACGTTTCACAATTAACTGCCTCGAAATGCCAGCTCGAGCTATCTGCAATCTGGCACACGCGTCGGTGGAAACTGACACTGGCATTATCAAGTGGGCCTGAAGGCCAGCGTGCCAGACAAAGCTGCCTGTCCATGCGCCGCGGGCGGCCGCGGAGTCACTACACCCGATCCACTCTTCCAGGGCACCTGAACCCTCCGCCCCCCAGCAGCTCACACGCCGGGCCAGCCATTCACCCGATGATACATTAATTAGCTTCTAACAAGGCTCTAATCACTGTATACAGCTTAAGGGTTTTCTGTTAGGGCTGATGTTTAAATATAAACACACATTAAAGGTCCCGTTTGACATTCTTTCTTGTCTCGGTGCCTAGGAACCCGGCTTCCTTCACTCAAAATGCACCACAGACTTGTAATTTTTTTCTTCCACTTTTTCTTTTCTTTTTTTTCCAACAGCTACGAAGAGGAGGTAGTTTCACCCAGGCAGATGACATCAGATGAGCCTGATATTGAGGAGTAGGCTGTACATGCCCAGGTGACCAAGTATTTTGCGAAACTATTTGCAGTTCACCTGTCTCGCCCCGGCGGAGAATCCCTCAGTGTACGACATTACGGCATTAAGCATTATTAACAATGTATTTCAAATAAACCCTCCCTGCCATTTATTATGGTTAATTAGAGGTTTCCACTATTGCGAAATTTTTGTGGTTTTGCGATCACAGGCTCTGTACGAGTGATTGACAATTTAGAAACATCTCACACTGCAAACCCGTTATCCCTCACTTCTGGTAAGATTTACGCAAGGGGTCAACGTTAAAGGATTTTTAAAAGTCCTGAAATGTGCACTACTGACATTTTGAAAACAAATTTTGTCATTTACTTTTTTTTTTTAATATGCTTTTATTGATTTTTTAGAAAGAGAGGAAGGGAGAGAGAGATAGAAACATTGATGAGAGAGAGATACATCCATCGGCTGCCTCCTGCACGCCCCCTATTGGGGATCGAGCCCTCCACCCAGGCATGTGCCCTGACCAGGAATTGAACAGGGACCTCAGTCCATGGGACGATGCTCAACCT